ATTTACCCAAGATACTCAACATACCTGTTTTTCTTGCTGATAAAGGAGCAGTGGTTAAAGAAACACTGGTAGCAATGAGCATGTTCCTGTCATGTGTAGGATTCATTTATCAAATTCATTCAAAACTCATTCTAGGAGGAGCCCTTTGGATAGATGTGGCTCTTCTAAGCCAAAAAATGCAGTTGGAACCTGGAAAAATCAGAGAAGAACGGCCACGTAGCCTGGTACCAGTACAGTGTGTACTCAAACAGTCATTATTTCAGTATTTAGAGACCAAAACTAAATGAAATATTGTGGAAGCTGTGTGCAGTCTTAGTGACGATAATGCCAACTCTCCCAAGGAGGAACCACAGCTAGGCTGAAATCATAGGCCCAAGATTTCTTCCCTCCAGATGCTGGGGCGACCTTTCCCCAAGAAAGGGCAGCCAGCTTGCCATGAACTGCACTGAGCCAGCTGTAAGTAGAGCAGATGTAACATCGTTGGACTCCTCCACATTCACGATCAGCTGATCTGAGACCTCCAAGCTGCCATTTGGATGAGTCCACCAGAGCTGCCCTTATCACCAAGCCCATCCTGCACGTGACCACAGACATCTGCAACTGTCCTGGATGGTATAAAATCTTCACTGTAAAATTTCAAACTATTTCATTGCATCCCGCTTTGCGTTGGTGGGGTCACAACCTGAAGTAGAGATCTGCTGACAGCCTGATAATCCCACAGCCAGCCCTACTACCTTTATGCCAAATTACAAATCACATAACTGAAGCAAAAGCCATTGTAATTGTTTAGGGTAAGAAAAAGGCTAAAAAGGGGAAAAAAAAAACCCAAAGCAGAAGGTTACATATGAGAGAATGACATACATCCCACAGGCTTGTCCCAGTTAGAGAGAATAAATCTGTACCAGCATGGTAACACAATGGCTCCTCTGGGTGCAGTCTTATTTTCTATTCTTGCCTTTGAAAATCCTGTTTGTTACCCACAGGCAAAGCCATGCCTGGAGCTGGGACTGCCACCCAGCTCCTTGTAGGAATGACTGTAATTTACATTTGGGGTCCCAGCAATTAGTGGCTAATGAGATAACTTTAGTAGTTTCTAACTGCACTTGAAAAACCAATGCCAGCAACGTAACCTTAAATGGCTTTTAACCCAGGATTTCTCATCTCTGGGATAACTGATGCTCGCTCCTCACTCTGATACATGCTAGCAGCAAACACGGGAGCTGTGCTAACGCTCAGCTTCTGTCACTAACCAGAACAGGAAATGCTTTGCATACAGGTGGGAGCATTAATGTTTGTGATATTATGCTAACTCTCTAGGGGACAGTCATTATGGCAAAAAAACACAATCTAGCCCTTCAGGAAAATTTCCTGGCAGCTGTTAGACCACCAACGCATTGGCAGAAGTCTCATAAAAACACGTCAGCCGTGATTGAACAGAGCATTCCTGTGCATGCAGTATTGAACAGCAAAAGGGACCCAGCACATTGCCTCCTTCTCTCTCTCCATTTTAGGAAGGCAGCTTACTCCAGCATCACAGTTGTCAAGTCAGCAGTTGGGGCAGATGGACTTTCCTTTTTCAGCTCTGTATTTTACCAAAGCCACGATCTGGAATCTGCCCACAGGGAATGGATTTCTTTCAAGAAAAGAAAAAGCCCACAAAAAGCCACCCATGTTATTGAGGGAGCAGCAATTTCTCTGCCCTTCAATCAATCCCAAAAGAGATGCTGCATGCTTTATAAGATTTTCTAGCTTTATTGGTTGCTGTAGCAATGACTTTTTAAACACAGCCCTATAAAGCACAGATCTTGGCATAGCAGGGAACTACCGTTCACAGTTTCCCAGTGATGGAGAAAAATCTGAAAGAGAGCCCTCCGCTTAATCCCAGTTATAAGAGTTCTGATCTGATCCGAGTTCTTCAATGATTCCTGAGCCTGAAAGACATCCAGCCACATAAAACAGCAGTTTGTGGTGGTTTCTGGTGCCAACAGGAGAAAGGATATCAGTTCTCATCTTTCATTGCCTTTCCCTTCAGGGGAGTCCTGAAAAGAGGCCTTTGAAAGTGCTAAAGGAACCAGCACATGCTGAGATTCTACTGGAGAGCAAAGCTTTGAACAGTGAACACGGACTGTTTAACCACACGTGAGATAAAGGGAAAAAGGCACGCGTGTTCAGAGGTACAAGTTTGTGTGCACTGTGGGGCCAAAGGGGATGCTGCTGGTGCTCCCAGGTATTCCAGTGAAGTCGGAAGCAGAAGTTAATTCCCCGACAAAAGAGAACTGAAATCCACCCATCACCTTTAAAAAGCCTTTACAAAGCAGCTTTTTACCGGACATTCCTGGCTACTGTCCCTCTAAGGACAATTCTTCCTTACAGAGACAACGCTGGCTCTGCAAATTGACTTTATGCACAGCAGTCAGCTGCTGAATGCGCACAGGGTGTCAGCCCAGCCAGCTGCCAAGCAGGGGAGCAGTGCCTGAGGCTCCAGCAGGAAAGCTCACCCTCTAAGAGAGAGAAAACAGCAACCAGCGAATCTCCCCTCCTTCCCCTAGCACTGTGTTCCAGATCAGGAGATTTCATGAGCTGTGTGACTCTCAGCAATTGTTTGATTACATGCCTTGGTGTTATCTGTTTGCAAATACAGTGAGTCCATAATTCCAAAAATTGATTTTATCCCATGTGATTCTAAAAACTGTGAGAATATAAAAGAGTAGTGGGCTTAGGGAGGCAAAACATCCCTCCCATCACAACGTAACAGCCACTCCTACAGTAACAGTGCATGAACTGTTTTCAGGTAGGGTCCAGGATGAATAAATGCAGCTACCACTTAGCTGTAGCTCTTCCTCCTTCACTGCAAGCAGGACTTCCTGCTTGCCAAGCAAATAAGAACTGCTTTCAACATCGGTATCTTGCTGCAAGCAGATGCCTGGAGAGCAGAGAGGAGGAACGAGAAGCACTATTCATCTCTGTACAGCTCGTGTTTCATTCTGCATTAGCTTCTGTCATCATCATTCTTCACTGGCAGTGCCAACACCAGGTATTTGCCCCTCAAGATCCCTTTCTCCCCATTATTAAGTCGACTGCCCTTAAGGTCATACAACAAAGCTAGAAGAACCTAGAGGTGTGGAGAACCTCTGTACTGAGGGCCCTGCTCCTGCCAGCTACACTGGAGCCTGCAGTATTGATAGTAATTTCTCTCCTTCAGCCAAAGCTGCTCTGCTGTTGAGCTGGGCTGACTCAGTATACTGGAAAGTGGATTCAGGTCCACAGAACTCACATTTCCAGTTGCATCAGCAGATTACATGTTCCCATGGAGCTCAGTACAGACAAGGTATTCATTCTCCCACAAGAAGAACTGAGGGGAGCCAGGCTTCATGTCTACAAGCAAGCTATTTGATCCACCTCGAAGAGCAAAAAGCAGGAATTTAATACACCTTCTGGAGACATAAGGACATTTAATCTGTGGGACTATGAGAAAGGTGAAGGATGGCAATGCGAGATGGGTTGTAGTAAGAGTAAGGACTCTCTTCTCATGAGACTAATTATCTCAGCGTAAGCAAATTGGTATTCCACCTGCTAATGGATTTAAACAGCAGCTGCTGCTTACTTAAAGCAGCAGCACACATTTCTTGCACATAGGAAATCATCATCAAAGGTTTCACACTTGCATCCTTCAGGCAGGAGGAGGCTTAGGGGGGAGTTTCTTCAGAAGAATCTCCCAACTGGAGCAGGTGAACTACAGGAGTGCTGCAGAACCCCACGTGTTGTCCAGAACATCTAGAAATGAGTGAAGAATTTGCACAATTACATAAAGGAGATTTGCACAGTGGAAGTATGGAGTACATCCAAGGCAAATCAGAATCAAACACACAAAGAAGGATGCAACACTTCTTTCAATTACGTTGGGACAGACACAGAAAAGCCTGGACTTCCTATAGCTTTGGTTGTGTTTTCCTAGTGCCATCCCAACTCCTTGTACAGTGCTCCTGCTCTCCTTCAGCTTCCTTCCCCTGCTTCATCCAGCACACCCTCATCCCTCCTCCTAGCCCTGCCTTTCTCTGCTCATCCCTCTCCCAGTTAGATTTTCAGCTCCCCCATCTGAATACTGAATGACAGCCCCACACCAAGTCTACATCCCATCATACCCCTTGCCTCACGGGCCTCTGTTTGTCTGTCCACATCTTGGCAGCTGGACCTGCCTTCCCTTGTGGGGCACTGCTTGGAATGGCCACAGGAAAGCAGGAAACTCCTGGGTGAATGCTGACAACATGGACAGGACATGGGTGTGGGAATTTACAGATGCATCTTCTTCAGTGATGTTGTTTGTGCTGCCCTCATGCCCAGAAGCATGCTTGGGTTCTGTACCAACATGCAGGAGACAACCCTTGCCATGAAAAACTTACAGCCTAAGCACAAACAAGGCAGAACATGTAGGGGACTCAAACGGAACAAAGTGCAGGGCCAGGGTGGAGGTAGACAGGAGCAGATAGAAGTTGTCTGTGTGTGTGTTTTGCAGGCTGAAAAGCTATGGAAAAACAGAGCAGCGTGTAAAAAACACCATTAAAATTACTAGCAGTAATAGATTTGCAGATTTTACATTCAATAATGGTCTTTTTTTCTCCTACTATAACAAAATTTCACATACAAATGAAAGGATAAATCCAGCACCTGACATGAAACCTGTGACTAAACGTTCCTCTGTATGCCTGCAGCTTTGGGCTGGTGCACGGCCACCTGGAAAACAGGGATTGAGCAAGAAAAGAAGTAGGGCTGATCACATTCACATTGCCAGTCGGAGAGGCAGAAACACATTAATTAACTCCAGTAACTCTTTTCACTGCTTCCTATTGCACACAAAAACCCCGTGCCCCAGAGAAGCAGAGCGATTCTCCACGTCTCCACAGCCTGTCGCTCTCTCCCTCTGCAGCACCAGCTGCTTCCTGGCAGTGGGTGGCACACGAAGAGCAGAACTTGAAAGCAGCACATGTTTACTGAGTCCAAACTGTTTAAAGTTAAAGTTTATTTGTATTCTTTGTAGGAATATCAATAAAAGACCTCAAATGTATCTATATCTGTACATATTACAAGAACCTTCAAAAATTATTCACAGAACAAAAATAAATCTTCTTTAGAACAAACCCAGGCAATGAAATGCAGAAATGGATCTCAGAGACCAAACAGTCCAGTGCTACTAGCATAAAAATACGGCTTGAAAAAACAAGTTTATTACTTCTTAAGGTGTACTTTGTCAAAATAAAAAATAAATTATTTAGAGCTATCATTGCAAAACAGTTCTGTGTAATAACATTCTTATTAAGGCCCTTGAGACAGAAAATCTATTTTTACAGGTAGGATTCCTGGCAGCCATGACCTGCAATGATAAGCTCTCTCTCCTGGGAGCCAGCTGACTGTAGGGAAGGAAACACCCCAGAGCATCAGCCTAAATTTAACCCTTTTGCTCTGTCATGCTCAGCTGGATACCTGTGGCTGACCACGCTAATGCAAGATTTTATTATTACTTACACTGAATGGTTCAACTCAGACAGGACTTGTTCTCCAGAAACGACACAGACATTTTGCAGAACACAAGCAGAATTCATACACACACGGCAATCTGAGCACACAGACACTGCTGGCACACTCCACAGGCACTGCTATAAAACCGACTGACTTCAATCATTGAGTTTGCAGATGAAGTTAAAAGCTGGTGGTTAAAGAAAGCATTAAAACATGAAATTAATATATGGTGGAAAAAAAAAAAAAGCCTAAGCCAACCCAAAGCAACTGCAAGAACAGAGAGTAAAATCCATTTCTCTGATGGACGGACACAGAATTTATGACTGTCACCCTTCATATTCTCTAACTGGAAAGCATACACATCCCTTTCCATGCTGCTCTGGATCTGCTTAAATTTATTCCACTGCAAATAAAAGCTGTAAGAAGAGGAGCTGTGTGAATCTGTGCTTTGACATGTAGCTGCCCATTTCCAACGCACCAGGGATATCACAACTGGTACTTCTGGATGTGAACTGTGCCTATTTCCCTTACAAAAAGGTGAGAACTCCTTGAGCTGCAAAGAACGGGCATTCACAGGACATGGCTGTGCTTGCTCCGTTCTGAGTGGCTCTGTGGTCTGGGAAGTGTCCTAGAACAGCAATGAGTGATGGCCAACAAGGACTGAGATGGGAAGCTTTCCTGCCCCACACCTAGAAATACAGGAGTATTACTCTGACAGCTTATTACATTTTATTACTTAGCTGTTTCTAAATGACAGCAGCAGTTGCTCGCAATAGCATTAGCAAAGCCTGATCAATTTGCTGGATGTATGAACCACAGTCTATAATGCTTATCATTTTTCCACTCACATTTTTCCACTGTTTACCTTCTCACTTATTGCTGCAGAGACCCACTGGCTGTTAGTCACAGAAAGAATGAGATGGGGCCAGGTAGGGTTCTTGTTTCAAAAGAGGCAGAGCTTTTTGGCTGCCACGTGGTTCAGTACCACTTGAATTTTATCAGACCGGACAGAACAGAAGCTGGCATTTTCACATACTGTCAGCTTAAAGTAGCTTAAAATTTCTCTAGAAAGCTGCTTGGTGACAAATTAGGAGAGACAGCTGCCTGCAGAACTCAGGAACATAACATTTTGTACTGTAGCTCATCAATTTCAGTTTGCAGCATTGCGAGTCCACAACCTTCACCCCCTTTCGGGCCAACGGGCAGCTTCTCCTCTGTACAAGGAGATAGAGGAGTACATTTTGCACTTTGGGGTAGAAATTGAATTAATAGCAATTAAAAGAAATAGAATTGAATAGCAACAAGCTGCGAGGATGATAGCATGGGTCACATTCTTTCAGAACAGCAGCTCTTCCCAGTCCATAAGCTTAAGAAATGCACACAAGAAGGTACATTATTCAGAATGATACACCCCAAATAGCTCATGTATCAACAGGTATCATTTCCCCTCTATAGAAACCAGGACTAAAATGTTGCCACTATTGCATTTTTCTGCAGAAACCAAAGTGGATTTCTTGGAGTCTACAGCACTGAACCGTACGGTTCAGGCAGCAATGTCTGATGGAAGACTGGAAAGGTGGGGAGTTCTGGTGCAATGCATTTCTCAAATTCATGTTAGACAAATGCTGTCAGAATAACATACCTGCTTCTGCCTTGCTCTAGTCAATGCATTCACGTGACTTCTTGCTCTTCTGTCTCAGTGACACAGCACCCCTATGGTCTGCACTGCATGTTAAATGAGCAATACGCATGTCTACCTGCAAAGGCTACTTTTGGGAACAAACTTCCCAGGACACAGCTGTGAAATTACAGCACACAGCAAAGGGGAGATGCAAATCACACACAAATACTCAACTGAAAAAGGGGTTGCTCTTGTAAAAGAGCTACTCACAAGACACTGGATAGAGTGCCTATGGCTGTGATGCACAGAGGAGGAAGGAAAGGAGAGAGAATGGAAGGGCACACTTGGAGGATCAAATCAGAGTCAGTGGTGACCCAGAGAAGGAAGACAATCCTGAAAGTACTGAAAAGAAATCACTACTGAGCACCAAGAAGTGGACAAGGATGCATTGGGCCTATAGGACCAAGTCACATTTGGCAGGCAGAGAGAGGCTTCGATTGGAAAGAGCTGAGCACTGAGGATAAACCCCAACTCACTGCAGACAGGTCTCCTTCAGATGTAAGTGAAAGCATTTTCCTTCTTACAGTGCAGGGCATGTGGTCTCTATGTACCTATGGTTAGAAATGTAACATACTTGTATGACAGTGTTTAACTTCAGCATCTCAACTCACCATAACCAAGGTAGAACAGTTAATGTTCTGTGTTACAAACTGTGTTACAAGTTTGCCCACAGAGATTAATTTATTTGCAAACAACAAACAAACTCCACAACAGCCACTGAATTTGAAGCCTCTGTATTGCCAGTCCTTCATGTTCAGGGCAACGCGGGCCCATTTCAAGCAGTTATGGAACTGACTTAGAAACCTCTACATTTTTAATGTAGTACAATTCTAGAGAATCATAAACTGAGGCCAGGAAGGATAATCAGCTCTGACCTCCTCCTTGGCCCAGGCTACACAATTTCAGGCAGGTACCCCCACATTCATCTCATTGGCTTGTTCCTTTTTGCTAGACATAACCCAGGGCACCCAGGGCACCCATAACCCAAACACCTCTTGACTTCAGTCTTCCAGGAGGACCTCAAAGTAAGTATGGGGGCGTGAAATCATGAGAACTGACAGTACTGTGCCATTTGTTGTTTATCTCTTACCAGCTGACAGTCTGCTACGAGAAGGTCACTTTGTACTTGTAATGATACACGCACTGACATACAGCCTGTAAATATGCTTCTACGAAATGCAACTGAAAATAATTAGAGATGAAAGCTAAGTCAAAATTCCTTAAGAAAAATAAGAGTGTAAAGAACTCTGAAACAAAACCCTTAAAAATATCCAGAGAAAGGCAAATTTCAGTGGAAATGGAAGCTCTTGCCTTTAACTGGAACTAAACTGACTAAGCTGGTGGCTGAAACAGTGCAAGTGAACAGGACAGAGTTGAAGAGATCTGCCAGGAAAACTGAAGTTTTGCAGACAGAACTCTACTGGCTGGGCACGGGCGCCCTTTGGTTAGCCCTTTCCTCAGAACATTGACCTGGTTGCTCCTGATGGAGTGCAGGGAATAACTCAGGGTGTCGCTGCATGGTGCACAAAGTAAAGACTGGATTGAAATTATTTAAAAAAAAAAAAAAAAAAAAAGTATTTACAGGTCTGTGAATTCCCAAAACAGAAAATACAAATTGCATTACAACGAGGGTAAAAAGAATCCTACCTTGAAAACTGCAGATTCCCTCTGTCTGTTTGCTGGGAAGCTTGACTGTACAAATGCAAGGAGACAAGATTGCTGCCCCTAGATTTTACCTTGCTCAGAATTTTGGTTTTTGCTGGAGCCCCACCAAAAGCGGGTACAGGAGCCAGCAAGAGCCAATTTTCTTGCTAAAACATTTGCTATTGAGTTGGCATTCGGATAAAGGACAACTAGAGAAGAGAGGGATAAAATCAGAGGATGAGTTCTGTTACAGAATTCATTTCACTGCTATTTCACTCCATTCATGCACTTGCATCAGTCAGCCTGATATATACAGCTACTATCTAATGTAACCCACAGCTCAGCTCTCTCACCCACAACACACATGCACTCACACTCCCCTCTTCCTTCTCCAAGGACTGCAGTGCTTTCAACAAGAGGGAAAAAAAAAATAATAATAATAGCAATAATTAAAAAAAATCTACAGTATTCACTTCCTTTTGGTATTTTACATTGGCGTTTTCTGTACATGACCCAGAGCTCCCCCTATTTACACAGTGATATGGAAGGACTTGTTCTCGGGAGCCCGATTCTCCTGGCCTCGAGTGGGGAATTAAAGCCCACCGTTCAGAGTTCGTTCTTATTTTCTTTTTATTAGCAGCAACATGTAAACCTGGCGGGGAAGAGGGGCCGTCGGTGGAGTTTCTCGAGTCCGCTCCCTCCTGCCCTTCTCCTGGGAAGATGGCCGGCAGCGTCTGCCCAGTTAGCAGCTGCTGTTTTTGAATTCACCATTCTCCGTGATGGAAAGCTTGGTGGGGTTGGTGGGGGAGATGCCATTGCGGACTTGCATGCTGTAGCGCTCCTTCACCTGCGTCAGGGCACTCATCAGCCGCGTGTTGGCAGAGTCCAGGGACACGATCCGCTTCTCCTGCAACAAACAGCCCACAGCGTCAGCGCTCCTTCACGAACAAACAGCCTTTGCCCCACAACCTGCCTTACGGGCCTTTCCAGGACCTGGGGCCGAGACAGCGTCTCCGGATGATTTCTAGGCCGAGGCAGCTCAGCTAACATTCTGTGGTATGATGGGATGTCTGCCTCTTTCTGTTTTCTTGGGCTGGCGTGGCCTCGTGGGCTGTGCCCGTCGGGCCCTCCTGGCCTTAGGCATGATGGAAGTGATGGTGAGTCGGAGTTACGTGGTGAGCTCTCTCCAGACAGCCTCCAGCCGAGGCAGATGGAAATGCAGCGTTTTGCCATGGAAGGGGGAGAAGGGGGGCACGGGTGCTGGCGTTAATAACAATAGCCAATATTTCCTTTTAATGCGTTAGAAAAAACAGAAACAGGCAGCAGAAAATAAAAGTGGCGGTTTCATCTGGCAGAGAAAAGTGCAGGTGGTATCTAATGGCCATCGTCTCTGCAGTTGGGATGGAGTGTGCTCAGAATAAACTGATGGTATGTTTGAAATTAAATGGAAAAAAAAAAAAAAGCAAATGATGGCAGCCTGCAGTCACCAGCAGGAGTGAGGGTGCAATAGCAACACAGAGAAGCAGCCAAAAGCTACAACTAAGGGGTTACTCGAGGTGAAGGAGAAAGAGGGCGATGTGGGTGGAGAGGGAGATGCCATGGACAGAACACAAAGAACAAACACTGAACACACACTGCTCCTAGACCCATTCCAGCTCGGAGCGGCTCCCGGGCTCTACTCAATTCTGGGTTCCCACATCCCAGTTTTGGTTCTTCCAGCCTCTGCTTTTAGCAAGAGGAGTCACAGAGCTAACTGATATATAATGAATTTATCATAAGAAACCCTAAAAACCCATCAGCAAAACCCAGCCTCATAACAACTAGATTAGATGCAGTGAGATACAGCTCTAAAGGGTCAAGCTAAAGAGCTACTGGTGCAATTAGAAATGGCAGTTTTCATCTTCTTTAAAAAATAAATTAAAAATGCAGCCACATAGAGCAACAGCAGAAATGGCAGCAGGCCCACACGCTGTCCATGCTACCAGCCAACTGTGTTTTTCACTCTGAGAAGGAAAAATGACTAACTTACTTGAATGAAAAAAGTAGCATGTAGGAACTCTTCTCTGTCCAGCCCATTTAAGAAACAAAATGGAAGGAAAATGATGTATAGGAGGCACAAACATTAAGGGACAGTTCAGGCAAACTGCTGAGGAGATGTAGGTCTACAAACAGCCCCCTGAGTTTGTCATCCTGGCACAGTGGCTGCGTGGTACTGCTGTAACCGTGCCTGCTTTCCTCAGGGGGCCTCCCCACAGGGGTAAATGGTCGGGTGCAAAAACAAAGCAGAATGTAACTACTGCTTACACTGCAGCCCTGGAGAGACCAATCTCTGTACTGCAGAGCAAATGGAGGAGAAGGCAAAAGTCAATAAACAGGAAGGCAGGCTGCAGCCCACCCCAGCACCCTGCTGCTTCCCCTAAGCTGTGAGCGCTGGCCATGGAGGAGATGAGGGCCTTAACCTTTCCCCGGTGCCAAAATAAATCCAGTGAAAAAAACTGCCTTTGCAGAAATGTGCTCTTCAACAAGTTAAAACTCCTCCTCCTTGGACTAAATTTCCAATATGCACATTATTCCAGTAAGCACTTAGAATACATACTTCAAAATTAAAATTTCCTCCTCAGAAGTGTCTTTACACATTGTTGAAAGTAAAAGGCTGGTGATTTTCTGGCACTGGTGAGTGCTCTGTACCAGCCTGCAGGCAACCTACGTTTGGAAAATGAGCTCAGTGAGAAAAGGCATCTTCTCACTCGAAGGAAAACACAACCTATCCGACACATCTAACACGCAGGAATTGGGCACAGGGAGTGGGAGGAGCTGGAATGGGTAGGAGGTCAGTGCGCTGGGCCAGGACTGGGTGCTGCTCAGCTAGAGAACTGATTGGGTTTACTTGCCTGTTTGAATTATCTCATTCCCATTAATGACCTGTAATTCAACACAGCGAAGATGTCACTTGCAATAGCAACTGGGCTAGTACCCTTTGCAGCTCCAAGGAGAGTGCTGCCAGACCTCTGCTCACTGGGGGCTCTCAGTCAGCCTGGAGGGCCTCTGGCACTGCTGTGCACAGCAGGTACTGCCCAGAGCTGGTGTGAACAGTGCTGAGGACAGGGCTGCCCTTGTGCTCTGGTTGTGTTGGGGGCTGCACCTGAACACTAAAGAGCTAAATCCTGAAAGGCATCTTGTGGTCATGTCATTAAGCACAAAAAACCCAGGTTTCCTTGCAGCAACCTCTCTGCAAACAGATGTGATAAGCCAGGTTCCAACTCCATTCCACAAACTGCACATGATAAAGAACTCTTCTTGTCTAACCCCTGCTAGATCCCCGTACCAAGCGAATCACAGGCTATGAAGAAATCTTCCAGATGTGACTTAGATGGATTGCTATGCTACTCAGCAAACACGTGGGCTCCTCTGGTGGACCTGTTCTGAATCTAGCATTAACAGCGTTCAACCAAGGGAAACAACTTCCTGGAACAATTGGGGTTATTCCTGAAATAAGGCAATTTTGAGAGATTATCTATTCATCAAGTTTATAGTTGAAACTACTGAAAAACCCAGGAGCAGGAAAGACATCCTCCAAACACAGGGTGGCAGGCAGATACCAAACCAGTCTCGGGTTCCATTGGACAAGCTTTGCTCTCTGGGATCAGCACAGACACAGAAGAAAAGCTGACATGATCCCACACGATACACCCACATGCATTGCCCACGAGGTCCCAAAGCTACCTCGTGTCGACTGAGACAAGCACTGCAGTTTGTGGCAGGGGGGGCATTTCTCCAAGACTGACGCAGACAGTCGGATGGGGTGAAATGCCACACATGGGGTTACGTTGGGCAACGCTCCATGGCAAGCATTCTCTTGTCTTCACAGGAACATTCAAAGCCGTGCTTTTAGCTCGCATAGCTGAGATGCATGCACATGGCAGTCCAACTATGCTGGTATGAAGCACAGCTTCTCCAGAGTTCCCAGGCCCACACTTGGAACGATGCCTACACAACGCACCACTATTCCTTTGCCCCCCTGGGATCTCATAAAAACAGAAAAGATTTTGGAGAAGCAGTCAGTCCTGTGATTTGTTGCCAGGCTTTCTCAAAAGCCAGAGTCAGACAGTGCAGTCTGCATTAATTAAAAAACACAACTCTCCTAGAAGGCAGTAGGTCACATGTGCAACACCATGAGCCAATACTGGCTTGGGAGCTAGATAGCAATGTTGGGGCAAGACGATAGGAGAAAATAATGGGTTCTATGCACAGAACACTTAGTTCTTGGGGATTCTGAGCTCCTTACCTGTGCATCAATAATTTTCTGCTTTGCATCGATGACAGCTTGCATCTCTGCATGATCTTTCTTCAGTTCCTCTTCAACTGCCATGAGCCTGATGCACAAAAAGAATTATAAATTAGGACAGTTCAGCATTATTCCAGAGTGTTTGAGGTACTCTGGCCTCTTGGTTTGACTTCTGATTGTCCTAGTCTGCAGGAACAGAATTCTGCTGCACTCCAGGAAGGTTACTTATCCATCTCATGCTCCCAACTGGCTAACCCTGGTACTTGCAAAATGGACACAGCAAAACACACCGCTGTTCTGGAGAATGTAGCCTCAGTATTGATTCCAAACAAAGCAAAGACACAGTTCTAAGTACAGCAGAGACTAGCCTTACAAATTCCTGCACCTATTCCTCCACTCTCTTGGCAACCTGAGGCAAGTTTCCATATCCATATCTCAGTTTTTTCACTTCCAAGGCAGGGCAGCACCACTGCAGAGATGTCTAACCACCCATGCAGCTCTACCTTCCTTAGTGCCAAAGAGAGCATAAGGCGCAGGGGAGCTGCTTGCTCTACACAGTTCCAAACTCTCCCAAGCCTCACCTGCTGATAATGCTTTTCATCTGGCTGTCCTTCTCCTCCTGCTGCCTGCGCAGTCTCTCCTCGCTGTCCTCCAGCCTGGACTTGTACTCCATCAGCAGCTTCTGCATTTGCTGCTCCTGCACCAGGAGCCGCCGCTCGTACTCTTCCAGTCGGCGGCTCGACACTTTCAAGCGTTCCTTCAGCTTTGCTATCTCTTGTTCGTACTGCAGGCAGGCAGAAAGAAGGGAAGAATCAGCGAAAAAGGGGAAACGAAGAGATTGGATTGTTATACTTTTCTGCTGCTGTTTAGGGCCGACGCTTTTTTCATTAAGAACACAGCCGTGGAAGTAAATGACAAGTGTACAGCTGCGGCCAACCGCTGACAAAGGAGCGTGGAAGCTCCCATTCAGCATGATGTCCCATTCAGGATTTCGTGCACAAACTAAGCATCAGATGGCTCTGACGTGGCTCCTCAGTCCGGGCTGGTAACATCCCCAGTCACTCCAGACCCAAGGAGTTCCCAGACAGATGCTGCTAACAGCAGAAATATCAAACACTGGGCTACTGCAGCACCCCAACAGTGCATTCCTCAGGACCAAGGCATGAAACCACTTGTTCCAGGCTGAAGGCAGCTCACAAGACTGAAGTTTTGTCCTTCCACTTAATACTGCATAACCATTTCTGCATTAGTACAGAAATACTGTGCCATCTCAATGACAGGTGTCCACCTCAGGAGGAGCCCAGGACAAAATGTGAGTGCTGGTGAATCTGAACCTACTGGAGGACTGCACTTAACTGAGACTTACACAATCACTTTGCAAATCCTGAACTATACTCAGTTAGGATTAACAATCATGTTGTTGTTTCTTTTTCAAATGGAATGTCACAATGACTGAAAGACTTCGCAAGCACAAAAAAGCAACAGAATAATGCAGCTACGATGTTGTCATCAAAATGATAACATCAGCAGGATCTAAAATGCACTTACGCAGCGTGACTCAAGATGCAAGCAAATGTTGAATACAAGCCTGTCATCTATGAGCCCTGAGCTACGTCCACGTGCAGCCACCTGACATGCTGCAGCCTGGAAGTGTGCTCATCCACAGCACGGCACTGTGCCTCAGTGTGACAGCATGTGCAGCACGAAGCCATGCCCACACAGCCTGGTTGGTTCTGAAGGTATGACTGGCATGGCTGCACCTGTCAGCTGCTCTGCATCCAGCTGTGGGATGGGCAGGACCTGCTGGCAGCCCTTGCATCTGCCCACACAGAATGAAAGGTACCTTCTCGGCATGCTTGGCTTCATCTGGGTTCTGCTCCGTGTCCTCCTCCACTTCCTCATACTGCCCGTTATTGAGGACCCACGCTGCTGTCCTTTCCACTGGTGACATTGTGGCCGAGTCCACAGGCGACTGGACCTGCAGCAGAGACACCTGTAAGCATTTTTCAAAGAAACCACACCCAAATCAGCTCTAACACAGTTCATTTGGAGGAGAAAAACGCCCATGGATCTGTCAGCCTCCACAGCCCCAAAACCCATCTTGCAAAGATACTTCATCCTCCCTGAAATCTCTCTAAAACCAGCACACTTGAGAAAACATATTCTTTGCCTAGGTGAGCTTCTCTGGAAAAAATCTCACTTCCAGATCCCATTCACATCCGTTTCTTCCCTTTGCTAGACTTTCAACAGGATCTTCTCAATGTGAGGTTTCCCTCTTGCAAAAAATGGAGCAATGAACCCCATGTGCGGCTGGCTCAGATCAGACAGGCAGGGGCTGGCGAAGGGCTGCAGAGCTGCAGGCAGAAATCAGCGTGGTGGTACTCAGAAGTGCCAAGAGGTGTGCCATTAACATGGGGATGCCTATCAGATTTCCAAGGGTTATTGCAGCATCGCACCCAGCCACAGCCATGAAAGGGACCCAGGGCCAGCAGTGCTTACCAGGACGGCTGTCTAAAAGAGTCTGGAAAGGAAGCTGCAAAAAGAAACCCCAAACTCTCCATCCGGCTGGGGGAAGCTTGGTCAAAATTCCATGCAGTTCTCGCAGACAAAGACAAGTTCATAAGCCCAGAAATTAGCATAACTACCCCTGAAAGAGCAACGCTGTCTCTGGGTTTTGAGAAACGCGATAGACCAAGTTTTTCCCCATCCGTGGCTTCACTCTGTGCCCAAGCAGGCCGCCTCCAGTTGCACAAAGTGAGGGCTGCTCCGTGGCGTGGCCATTTAGAGGTCAGTGTCTCAGTGAGGAGCTGCGTGCTTCCAGCAGCCACATTCAGAGACCTTATGAAGGGCAGGAGGTTGGCGAGCACTTGAGATGCTAAAGGTTTATGATTTACAGGAGAAAAAAAAGAAATGCCTGCTAGGAACCAATTCCCCTCCTTGCTCCCTCCCAGAGGAACACGCTGACATTTCTGTTCCCACCTACCTACTAAATGGAAATGGAAGGCAAAAGCTGACCTCTCCCAGCAAACAAAGGGCCTCGCTCTGCATTCAGAAACAAATGGGACTTGTGGAGAACAGAGTCTAATAATTATAACGCCCACAAAGCTATGCCTGGAAAGAACATGCCCAACGTCTCTTTTTGCTCTTTCTTTTATTAAACAAGAACAGAATTCCACAACACGATTTGCAATTAAAAGAATGCAGTGGAATTTGCGTTTAAAAAAAAAAAATGTTGGCCTCTCATTTTGGCACACTTCAAGGCACTTTGCAGGGGTGTGGGGAAGGAAAGAACAAATTGATTTCTCTGAAGTAGGAGCAAGTACTCCTGTGCACCCAGTGCCAACAATTAGCACGGGAAGGAGCGTGGGAGAATAAGCAGATGCACGTTGCTACAAGGGATGGGGAGGAGCCTGCCCCGAAGCCAGGCACTGCTGCAGGTATCGATGCAGCTACGGAGCACACAGATACCTGCAGACACACCGCTCTGATGCTAAACAAGGACAGGTAATGGATTTATTTAGGACAGAGGGAAGTCATTCCTGGCCTGCACATTTCCTACCATCTCTGCACTAGGCTCTGTTGTACTCAATGTACTTAACCTGTCACCCCATCCATGCCTGAATGTGAAATACACACTCAAAAGGAGGACGCAAATGCAAGCACTTCAAACAATGAGTAATTACGTTTCTGGTATGAGCAACTTGGCATAGCAGCCTTTGCTTTGTGATTCAGTGCTTCTGATCTCGTACCCCAGTTCCGGAGCCCTGGTTGCTCTTGGTTCCCAGGCACCAGTTAGACTGCCTTCCTTTAAACTGCACCATTCAGGGGAGTTTGCCAAGACAGCTATGCCAGCAGGGACAGCAGCAAAGCCTCCAGGAGCCTGTGCTGGCAAAAGAATTTCTCTGCCAGCTTTGCCTTACAAGCCCAAAGCTTCCCCTGCGCAACCATGCCTGCAGCAGTGCTTCTGCTCCAGCGGGGATGTAGCTGCATGGGCAGCACAGTGCAGCCTCAGTGACTGTGACTTTCTGGAGCTGAACTCCTCCCTCGTGCCTGTGTGCAAAGCGGCATCCTTCATAGAAGGTCTTCAAAAGCAGGTCAGGTAAATCAAAGCCCCACATGTTTACGCCTGCAGTGACCACAGAAGAATATATTCAACCCAAGGAACTGCACAGGTGTTGCCTTGGAGAGCCTCTCCCTGCCTAGCCATAGGCTATAGGACATTACTAACACCAACCACCTTCCCTCTGACCCACAGTCAAGACACTTCCTACACTCTCTGTAGTGTCAAGCATTTAGATACTTCTTTTTCTCTTTAATATTGCACTGATTTGGCAAATACTTTTCATTCACAGCAAATCAAAACAGGATTTTTTTTTTTAAGGTTAAGGGAATGCTGGCTTTCTGACAGGAAAATCGTGATTTACAGCTGCCTACCAGCAACTGATAAAACGCATTAGGAATTGGTACACGTAAACACTCCTTTCCAGAAAGTGTTTGCATTACTCACAGTTTGGGATGATTAATGAAAAAGCAGTACTTATTTGGGGCCAGTGGTAGGTTGGTGGATCATGGCGAAATGCAGGTCTCTCCACACTTAAGACACCTCTAATTATTTATTATTTTGGCAGCACTTTATTCCAGGATATTTAGTCTTCATTTATTCCTCTGTTTTTAGGTAGCTTTGCTTTTAAGTCAGCACCACAGGGCAAATGCATTCACTCCCGGCAACCTTAACTATGACTTAGAACAAAGCTTCTGCTACTTTATTATTTAGGAAAATGTTCAAGTTCTGTTTCTTTCAGCAGCCGTGCTGCTGCCTTAGTAAATGAAAAACATTTTTGTTAAGCTTCTGTACAAAAGCATCCAAAATAATAGGTAAACTAGGTCTGCTGGGTTTGTAATGGTAACAAGTCGGCAATTTGTGGCCAGTAGCAAGGCTAAGTGCCACCGTCAGCCAGTACGACTCAGGTAATTTAGATCACAGAATAGCTTAGGTTGGAAGGGATCTCAAAGATCACCCTGTGGGCTGGCTGCTCCCCAGTTCAGGCTGCCCAGGGCCCATCCACGGCCTGGGGCACCTCCAGGGACGGGGCTCTCACGGCTCTGGGCAGCAGCGCCACACCAAAAAGCTTTGACGTTCAACACAGCGATCAGTCGAATACCAGAGCATGAAACGCCTGGGCAGAGACTTTCCTTACCTGCTGCGTTTGCTGCCTCTGAATGGCCCTCACCTTCGGGACAGGGCTCTCCCTAGAGGACGAGGACTGCTGCCGGGAGCGGCTGCCGTTCTGGACGGGCTCAGTCACCACAGCCCCCGACACAGCCGACATGCTGCCCGTGCTGCGCAGGGATGCGCTGTGCGGCAGCGACTGCGGCGCTTTGGCCCTGGCCCCTAAGCCAGCCTGGTCCATTTTGCGGATCTGCGCCTGGCTGCTGCTGTTCTGGCGGGGCAAGGCGATGGGGACGTGCTTATCTGGGACCGCGTGCCGCCTAGAGAAGTCCTCGCTCTGTGTGCTGCGCTTGGTGAAATCCTCCATGCTGCTGTTGCTGGGCCCGCTGAGCTTGAAGTCTTCGCTGTTGCTTCGGCTCCGGGAGCTGGCGGTGCTCAGGTTCTCCAAGCTGGAGTCCACGGAGGCCTTGGGCATGGGCGCGGGTGGGTTGTTGAGGTGGTACACCGGGTTCTGGAATGACAGAGGCTGGAGGCTGCCCTGCTGGTTCAAAGCTGGGTGCAGCGGCCTCCTCACCTGGGGTGCGCTTTGGGGGGTGCTCTGAGTCTCCCACAGCTGCTTGATGTTTGCCACTTGGGTGATGGAGAGCTGGCTGCCGGCCAAGCGCAAAGGCACGTCGTGCATCATGGAAGCGTGGTCGCTGTGAGTGGTGTGGGGATCCTGCAGGTCCATGAGGGAGATGCTACGTCCGTTGGGCAAGATGCTCTCTCTTTCGTCCTTATCTGAGTAAGTCATGCTCTGGGTGGACGCCTGCTGAACCAACAGCAAGGTCTTGCCCCTGAAATATCCATCTATGTTTTCCTGGGTTGGAGACTTCAGTTTATGTAAGTCACTGCGGAGCGGAAAGGAGTTTGGTTAATTTTTAAGCAGCCAAGACCCTCAGAGATCTGTCCCAGAGAAACCTCTTTACCTCAATCAAACCTCCCCTCTACTCCAAAAGCTTCAAGGAACTGGATTTCCTTTTATGAGCTCTCTGCGTTCAAGTCAGAACACAGCCTTCCTTAATTACCGCTTGCATCTTTGAAAATTAAGCTCGATTCAAGAGCGCTTCAATCTTTATTTTTCACATGTGGAACACAAACTATTCCCACCAAATCCCCCCCTTACACCCTTCCCTTTCCAGCAAGACTTCAGAGAGGTGCCTGTTGCCCTTTAACCCTGCACAAAAGCTTTGCACATCTCAGAACCCAACAGGAGCTGTGTGAAGCTCCCATAGATGTAGCTGTGAGCCGGTCCTATCAGCTCCCCGTGCCCCCAGTCTCCCCTCAGGCTCGGGCTGTTACCTACCCATCAGTGGGGTCCTCGAATATCTTCTGAAGCCCTGAGGAGAGACTGCCACTGACGTTTGGACTAGAGCTGTGCTCAGTGAAACGCCTCAGCTGCTGCTGTATTGGCGTAGGGTTGGTCATTGATTTGGTGATGTCAGCAAGAATACGAGGAAGAGGTCCCAGTTTTGCCACGGTCGCCTGTAGGAAGGAATTTTCACCCTAATTGGACAACAAGCACCGCGACATCCGCCAGTTTTTGATAACGATGCACAGAGGCGGAGGGGTGGAGGTGGAAGGAAGGAAGGTGGGTGGTTGTGTGTGGGTGTGCCAGGACCGTAAGGCAGTGTTACGGAGCAGGGTGACCACGGCGACGAGATGGATGGAGGAGACGAAACGGGGTGCAGCAGACATTGAGGAAAGAAAAGGAAATAGAAAAGAAATTAGGATTGACCTCCAAAAATAAAAAATAAAAAAAAATCATGCTCAACAAAACAAAACTATGGCCATTCCAATGCAAAACTCTCATGCAAAGCGAACTAAGTCCAGGCTGGGTGAGGTCAAAGTGAAAACTATGGTATCTATTCATTAAAGGGCATTCGCAGACTACAGATTCAGCTGGTGGGGGAACTTTCCAGGCAAAAGGTGTCATGTGGTGAAGGAAATGCATGCCAACAGACAAAGGGGTGTGCGGCATTCACGGGGATCATGGCAGGGCTGCAAGGGTTGGGGGAGATGGGAAAAGGGAAAGTTTTCATTTGCCTTTTGGCATCCTGCACCGATGCCAACTTCCGTAGCAACTTGTTATCAAAAACTCAGGCGTTCTTCCCTACTTAAGAGTAACTTCATGAAAGCATCAGCGATCCTCATCCCCATGTTATCACATCAGCCTGGGATTAAAGGTGTACACACCCTTTGCTCAGTGCTGGCTGGGCTTAGGGGAGGGCAGCCGACCCTGGAAGGCTGCTCATTCAGGCTGCCTCTCTTTCCCTTTGGGTCACTGGCTATACCACCTGCAGGGCATCTTCAGGCTCGTGGCTCTGAAGGAAGAAGGGGAAATGCTGGAGGTTTATCATTAGGTAAAGCCCTGCCACAAGAACAGCTCCCTTCAAAGACATTCGTATTTCTCCTGCAGGCAGATATTCAGTCAGCTTGACTCCAAGGAGAGGTATCTTTACAGACACTAACACCCAGCACTACTTCTGTGTCTATTAAAATCTCAGAGCTGACCTCACATCATTTCCCAGTCATTACCTGCAGTAAAGCAGCACTGCAACATAACTTCACACCTTAATTCTTTTAGCAAACCACTGTTAGGACAGATGTGTGCATCTAACCCACAGAAAGGGCAAAGCAGATCTGCTTTGACGGCCCAGCCAGGTGTGGCTCCTCCCTCTTCTCTGCATTGCAAGAGCAGCTCACAGGAACTCAATGCAAGGATTCATTTGCAGTTCTAAAGACTGCAGCTGGGTTTCTCTCGACCTGACACCTGACTCGTGCTCATAAGTTCAGCACAGCCTAGAGAAATGGAGGAAATGGTCTTCTGAGTGCTCCCTTTGCTTGTTTTCCTAAGGCTGCTGAGCTGCCTTTAGAGCAGACCTTACTGCCTGTGACATTCTGAACGTACGCTGTGCGTATGTGTGAACTAAAGGGGCAAACAAGGCCATAAATTGTGAGCCAATGACAATTAATACACATTGTCTTTTCAAGACAAGGACATTTCTGTTCACTCTGATGCAACAAGCTCAGATTTTTTCACTTTTCTTTTAAAGAATGTACTGTGAAGAAAGAGATACCCAACAAATCACTGTTTTGGCAAGCCTGAGAGTAATAAAACAGGAAGAGTGCACTGCCTCACCTCAACTCTCCAGTTTCAAAAGAAACAGAATGATATAAGTGGAATACGGACAAAATAATGCAGCTCTGAAGTTAAAATATGGAACAGTTCCATGGAAAAAAAAGAAAATGAAGGACAGCTTGACTTTTTTGATCCTTATCAATTACCTTTGTTATCAAGGTTTTAATGATTTGGGATCATGGAAAGCCACGCAGCAAACAAACGCCTCTTCTCTCTCTATAGCTAAATGGAAAGGATGCTTCCTGCTGGCAATGAGCATCTATTGTGATCAGCAGAACGGAGTCTGGAAAAGGCATCTGATCCCAGCGTGATGCAGAGGCAGAAAGCACCCTGCCTTTGTTACAGGATAAAGCTGAGAGTCGAACCAGCTCTTTACATGGCACCCTCTTATCTACTAAAACCTAATCTGAAGACTGCAGAAATGAGACCATCTCAGCTGGCTTTGGATCAGGAGTTGAACACGAACGTGTTCTGCCTGGCCAGCACATTCTTGCACCCGAGGAGCATCGACAAGGGCTACAAGATTTTCACTTTCTGCTCAGAACACCCTCCTCCCTCCCTTTTTCCCAGATCGCTTATAAGGAACCTGGCTGCTCAGAGAATTCCAGGCCCATTTTTAAGTGCTGCCTTCTCCACTTTTAACATCCAGCCTTACTTCAGGCTCTGCAAAATGTTTGCACTACTGCTGGAGCCAACCACTTCACTGATGAAGAATCAGAGAAAGAACAGTTGTGAAACACCACTATCACACATTCCTCTCTGAAGCTGCTGAATAAGTTATCCCCAGTGCAGGCTTCAGCTGCTCCCTTGATGTTTCCCAGTGTTTACAGTTGCTATGATACAATCACCGGATTCACCCTCCCAGGCCTCCAGCCTGCTTTACCTTATCAAGTTGGGACACAACCTCCCATAAGAGGGAATGCAAAACTGAGAGCTCTCTGCCCAGGTCGATATAGCCCTCAAATCCAGGCATGTTTGAGATGGTATCTGGATTAGAGATCTCCAGGAGAAATCGCTTCATTCCCCCCCCACTCATGTTCCAGAAAGTCGTTCATGAAAGCCATGTACTCTTCCTTGTTACCAAACCTGCAAGAAAGGAGAGTGGGGGAACATCCAGTCAACATCTTCTGTACAAAATATACAGCACGAGAGCTTGCAGACAGTTATTTACACACAACTTTAGATCTCCCTTTCTAAAGATCGGATCTGGGAGAAAAAAAAAAAAAGAGTGGGGGACCCCATTTAAGAGATCCACTGCTTTTGGCCATGTTTAAACACCAGTAACTCACTGGTTGTGATACGAACGAGGGGCTCAGCCCATCTCTCCCTCCCACAGCAATCTGTTTGCTCCTCCCCTTCTCTGCACTCCCTCCCCTGCAAGAGACATGCCCTTGTTACCATTCAGCTGGGAATTTTGGAGGAGGAGAAGGGGAAAGTCAAATTCCTCAGTGGGAACAGTCTTTCTTCTTTAAAAACAGAATACACACCGACATGCTAACGCACAACTCTCTTCTTGGGTTTATACAGTGTCCCTTTACAATTCAACACAGCCCAAATCTGTGTGTGAAGAGGTGTTCCGAGGGGAACAGGCTTCACATCTAAGTGAGAACTTTCTTCCATTTCTAAAGCTGACTTCGACCTGCTGTGTGCAGACACGACTACCAAGCCCTGCTCTCCTCACTCCACTGCACCCCCCAGTCGCTTGCAGCCCTAGGGGCACAAACTTCAGTTTTACTGTCACCACCTACTTAGCAAAATTGGCGAGATTCTGAATGACTTTAGCAATAAGTGTGAGCGTTCGCGATGTCCGGTCGTCGGGATACTCCTGCATGAGGCTGAAGAGGCTGGGGGACATGATGGCGGGGCACAGGAAGCGGAGGAACAGGGAGGCACTGATCAGCCGCTCGCTGATATCCTGCTTGCCCCTGCTCAGGCACTGCTGCTTCCAAGATGCAAACACCTCCTTCAGCTCACGAGGGAACACGCTGAAAAAGAATAAACCGGGACGTAAAATTGCACGGGCAATGAGATATAGCAAATTGAGCTGATGATCAATCACCTGAAACAATTATCTGTGAGAAATTGTAATCGGCTTTATTTATTGTCTCTTGTCTCCCCTAGGCTAGGAAATGTCATTAGGCATCTATTCTTGGATGCTCACTTAATCTGGTGATACTTAAGTACTCTTTAAAGCATCCTTTTTAATATCTATTAGACTAAGCCCTTTTCAGATGCTGACTTACAAGCTAAGAACTACCTATCCATTGCTACTTGGGAGCAAACACGGTGTTAGAATATGAAAAACAAACTGAACCAAACTGAACTCCATGACTACAACTGTTATCTGGCTTGTTAACCTCGCTCAGTGCTCCACACATGCTCCCCTTGAAGCAGAAAGGCCCTTCTTGCAATGGCACTCAGAAACAGAGACTAACAGAAAGCTCTCGGGCAACGTTTCCTCCATCCTTGTGTTTTCCTGCTCATTTTTACAGATCTGAAGGGGCTGAGAGCTTTTCCCTGAATATCTGAACTTTCAGCTTTTTATCCCAAGCCTAAACTCAGCTGCAGTGCTCTCACCGGATTCTCTCCCAGCTGCAGTTCCCTCGGCACAGCATGCCAGCAGAAGCTGCAGTAGGTATGGTGTATTGCACTGCAGCACCCTGGCCTGGGGCTGAGTTCCACCTGTGGTACTTCCTCACACAGTAAGACAGTGACAACAAACAAGGGCAGGATTGGAAGATCTACTGGAAGGTCTATGCTATTTCCCTGTACAACTGTTTTCCCACCTGTAGAGGAGGAAGGGGCACCTCCTGAGCAAATGACCTAACAGGGGAGAAGGGGAGGGGAGATGCCTCACCAGTAGGAATTGATAATCTTGCAGAAGGCCAGCTCACAACACATTTTCAGGTTGCTCTGATGGTCTGTTAATTCACTGGATGAACATTTGCTGGGATCCACTTCACAGTTTTCATCTGACTCATACAAAGCCTTGATAAACTCCCCTGGACAAAAGGAAGAGGATGACAAACCGGGGTAATTACACGAGAAGCCTCCTTGACACACCTTTAAATCCTGTTTATGCCTTTCCTTGGCAACTGCCTCTTCTCCTCTCCGTGTCTGCAATAGTCTCCAGACACCAGCTGTTAGGGACACAGCTCCTCCCAGCTCTTTCAGGCCAGCATTTGCTGTAGCAGATCAGACGACTGCTGCTCTAATGCCTCAGCCTGCCGTGCCCTCACTGCCCCCACACCCAGGCACAATAACAGGACGGCTTTGCCATAGCCCCGGCAGACGCTGCATTTATAGCCTGGAGAACAGGATTCGACTCTGTACTCCGACTGTATTATCAATCATATGATTATCCACAGCCTCAGAAATGAACCTTCGCTATTTATCTTCAGAATTTCTTCAGGAAATATATTTGACAATGTTATTTATTTTTCTTCATTCTAAATTTACTGTTTTCTGAATTTTGAAGTGTCACCTTGCACTTCAGTAAGAGGACTAGGTAAGTACTACCAGTATTCTCTTCCATCAGCATCTCACAGCATTTTCATAACCCTCATCCTTCAAAATCCCTCTCTTACAGTGTCACAATGGAAACTGGACACAGAAACAGGTGAAGTTCCCTTAATGAGCTGGAATGAGCTACTTACTGCTTTTCCTATCTATGGTAGCATGCCAATCACAAGGCAAACCCCTTAATTCATTCCTTTAGTTATTCAATGCCTCATCCCCTCAGATGATCTTGCTGGCTGCAAGCTAACACCAAGAGGCTTGTTTGTGCAAGGGGCCTTTGTTTCTTCTTGCTTTGTTTTCACACAAACCTTCAGTGCTTCCCCCCCACCTGAAGCCAGCAGTGTTCTCGCAACCAAAGCAGGTGGCACATCTTAAGCTTTTTTGTTGGGATCCAAAACATTTCTGCTGAGGGCATCTATATCACTTAATCGCCAACCTTTCGGCATCATTTCTGTGTGAGCCAACTCTGTTTCATCTCTTGTTTGCTGGGTATATTTTTTTGGCTTAACCACATTTGAAATTTACTCTTTGTGGTCCACAAGGCCCTGCCTTTATCACATATTAAAAAGCACTTATGAATGCAGCAGAGCTAACACTGAGCACAGCGTTGTTAATTATCTCAAAGAATGTGGCATCTGAGCAAACCGACTGGGCACACTGAAAACTTGACTAAGAATCAGTACTGCTGTGAACAACCTTGCCCTGGGATACAGACAGGCTGGATGGCCTCCAGGGATTTTCCATCTCTTGTGCCTACGGCTTCCAGTCTTACAGCACAAAGCAGTCCTCTGCTCGCCTGTCCACACTGAGAGCTCAGGACTGGGATGGTGCTGAGTGGTTCCATCATGAGAATAAGATACCAGGACAGCCAAAACACACACAACCACAGAGCCAGCTATCCTGACCCTTGCAGCACTAACTTAGCCAGTTATTGCCTTGATGACTTGCCAGCATCTGAGATTGCTGACAACAAGCAAGACTGCTGGGAAAGCAAGCTGGTGTTTTATTTTATGAAAGGATGTGGCGTGGAACTTGGCTTTGCCCTCAGCTTGTTCCTCTTGTATCAGTTTCCAAAGCTTTCTTCATTCGAGAAACAACAATGGGATGGGAGGCTCACTGTGCAATCTTGGGTAATAAAGATGGTGGGAAGGTGGTAACTGCTAACCAGAGAGGGGCACATGCCTTCTAGCCCTCTTTCTGGAGTTATCAGTTGTATACACAATAATTCCCAAGGCAGTGGCACCGTCCTGAAGTCATTGCAGAAGCTTTTTCAACACAAGGAGTGCATACTTCATACCTGTGCCTGGAATTTCCACCTAACTGGATTGCACCTGATAGCAGGTTCACTCCTGACACACAAAGTACTCCATTCCCACGGTTACAAACCCTTTTTTAAACCTGGCCATAGGAGAGGTGGAACAATCACCATTGCTCACAAAGTAACTGTGCTGCTACACCCCTCCAACACCAGCCATACAAAAGGTTACCCAGAAAAGCAGCGTCATGATGTAAACATGCTGAGGGACGCAGCTGTATCAAATCAAGTTAGCCCTTCTTTGGCTGCTACTCCTACAAGCACCAATGAACATCTTCCTCTGCAGAGAGGAAAGGCATCAAGAACAGAGAGCATGTGTTCTGCTGCCTGGATAGCTGCTCACACACTGCTAAATGTAGCGAGGTGCACAGAGCTTCAGTCACACTGCAGAACTCAGAACACGCGCTGTGACTCTCATGTCACCAATCCATGTGGTGAGGGCTCTTCACACACCTTGAGAAACATGTGGGGCAATGCAGCGTGGGAACAAGGGATAATGTTATGGAGAAATGCTGGGTGTGGAAGGTCCATTCCAACTGCATTGCTGGAGCAGCAGCTCTTGGGTCAATCACCTCCTGTGTCTCAGCACAAGGCCCATACTTGACTGGTTCTCTGCACCAGGATCAAGCAATACAAACAGCTGACAAAGAGGTACATTCTTACCTAACGCATCGTGGAGATACTTCTGCCCTACCAACTTCAGGTATTCCTCAATAGCTTTGGTAGCAAGTGTGTTCTCCCTGAAGATCAAGACGTCGTGCTCCCCACAGCGATCTACCTCAGACATCACCAGATCCGTTAAGAAGTCCTGAAGGAAAAGGTAAGATAGCAGGTTAGTTTAACCAGACTCACACCAGACTAACTGCAGAAGCCCAGAAGGAAGGAAAAACAGGAGACAGAATTACTGAAATAACTGCCCAGCTTGGCAGAAGGGATCCATATGCTACCTGTACAGCCAGAGCTCCTCTTGTATTTATTATATTTAAAGAGATTATAAATCATAATTTATAAAGGGAGAAACAAAGAAAAACTTTACGCCAAGCTTGTGTTTCAGTTTAGATCCTGAACAGAAATCCTCATCAGTTTGTTTGTAACTGCTGAAAGCAACCGTGATTTTACGTTTGTGTTTTAATATTGAATATTACATACAACCTTGGATTTAAAAATCCAAAATGGAAGCGCTGCACAAACTCTCATGTATGCTTACAACATATGCTTACAACAATTTGACTCAGAAAAGAAAAGTGATTCAGGATTTGGGAAGAAAAATCGATGGGATGCTGTGTATGGCTTAACTTGTTCTGTGCTCAAAGGCACAGACAGGAACAATCAGTGAGTTTTGATACAGTGAATTCTCTCTTGATGCAGGGTCCAGTTCTACAGTCACACTTGAGTAAGGACACGCAGCATTTCACAAGAAACATTCCTGTTTCACTACAGCCCACGTCAGCCCCTGCAAAGTCCTCCAGGAGAGGAACTGCCATTCCTCCTCATCACCACTCTCTCTTAAAACTCTTCCAACCCTCCCACCCAAAAACCAAGCAACCAAGGAAAAAAGACAAAAACAAAACAAAAAAGAAACATTATAATGTGACATCAATTAAGGCTGAGTGACAGCAGTTTGAAGAGCACTACAGTAAGGATTTATAACCCCATTAAGGACACAAACAAAGACGTGGTGCTGGCATATGAATGCAAAAAAAAAACCAGAACAAATGAGATACAATAGGAACATATGAAAAACACATGCAGTCCTGTTGTTTTTCAACCCCTTATTGCTTCTTTTAAGAAAACTCTTCATTTTCACCTGGTGCAAACATCAGCTGCACCACCACGCTGTGACATGGAAACCTTCTTTGCAGATTAAGGCTATGGCAGCCTAAGGAACTCAATGCTTCCAGCAAAGAGAGCTCCAAACTTACAGGCACTAGGAGAGCAACGGTATAACAGTAACTTCTCTACTTGCTGGAGGCAGATAAACCAGAGCCTGCTTTCCAGGAGGATTTCAACACAGCTCTACAGGAGCTGCCCCAGCTACCAACCTCTCTAGGTCAGACAAACAGCTGGTAAGCAACCAAGGGAATCACACAGTGCCACAGAGCACCAGCCCTCCTGAGATCTACATCAAGCAATGGGGGAACAGTAGAGAGTGGGACACTTGGGAGTTACAGTGGGATCTTCTCAGAGCAGCTAATGTAAGCTGTCCCTTGACTGCTTTTGTGGTCATTTTCCCACACCTCCAACTCTAGCCTGTGCTCAGAGGTGCTTAACTTGCTCTAGCTGGCATTACTGGAAGGAGCTGGCTACAGCTTGGTACTACTCCCATACAACACCTGCATGAATCAATGCTTGTTAATGCCTCTCAGAATTTCTGGAACCCTGCAGGATATTCACCCACAATCTGTTCAAAGAAACCAGGGCTCACAATTACTGCATTACAGAGAACCACCAGTGTGCACCTAGAAGTCCTAATACCATTCTTCGGGCAGGTGGGATCACCATTAACTGAGTATGGATTCTCCAAATGGCTGTTTGATTGCTGACCAAATCGATGTTCACGTTGATTAGCTGACTTAGCACTGAATCAACAATGGCATGCTGCTGCTGGCTGTATTGGAGATGTATCTATGGAAGTTACTCTCCAGTCTATTTGACTCTTGCTTACTTATCTCTTTATCTAGCATCACAATTCTAGAAACACAGAAAAGGTTCCTGAATACTTAAGTGCAAACTCATTTTTCAGTCCTCCCACTTACACTTTGTACACAGTATCTTTAACCTTCCTATCAACTCAGGCACTTAATCTGTGTTGGTGCAGTACCTATTTGCATGCCTTCCTGGCAGATGTAATCACCAAGTCTTTAAAAACACTTTTGTGGCCCTCTTCTCAGCCCTAGCCCATCAGGCACCTTGTGTGGCTGCTTGTGGTCACACCAGTCCAGGAATCCTATTTTCTACAGGCCGACAGTTGAGAAGATATCACCTATCACCAGGAGACAGGAGCCATTTTGACAGCGGCCTCCCACTCTTACCTTAGCTCTCCCCGTGCTCTGAAGAATATGCACCATTGCACAAGCCATCTCTTCCTTATTCCTTACACTGATGACTGGCTCCAGCACGGAGCACAGCATCGTGTAGTTGCTGGTAACAAACTCTGCAAACTCCTTGTATTGCTCCATGGGTAAGATGGTGATGGTCTGATAACGCGACTTGATGCGAATGGAAGGTCCTCCTGATTTCCCTTTGTTGGGTGTAGGTGTGCTGACTGGGTACCATTTTTCCACAAACTGGCGACCCGTTACAGTGGCCATGGGAATGTTGACCAAGCCGACGTAATTGTTTTTGTCCTTTTTCTTTTTCTTCTCCACATCCTTGTAGATGTGAACCGTGATGCTGTGAAGAGCTGGGAGACCGTAGAACTCAAAGTGCTCTCCCCAGAAAATGTTATCTGCTTTCGTTTTGCTGGTGGTGCGGGCAAAGAGAGTGTCATCAAGGCACAGCTCACAGAAGTATTTCTTCTTGGGGGCCAGGTCCTTTGCCTCAATGATCCAGAGACGGAGCACATTTTCAGCTCGGCGGCAGTTGTCCTGCACAGAAGAAAGAATTCAGTTTTGATTTGAAATCTCTAAAATATCAAGTGTGTTGTCTTATAGAGAAGCAGCAAAAGGCTGCCCTTTGCATCAGAGGTAGGGATGGAATCAGAATTTGCACAGATGTGCCTCCACATTAAACCTTGAAGCTCTGCATCCCTTCCTTCCGAGGCACCAGAAATCCAGTTTGAAACATCATAATCAGGCATGGGGAGATCAGGAAGCAACGTGACATGATTTATTAATCAAAGCTCTAACCTACTGCACCGAATGGAAAAGAGCACAGCAGCTTTTGATACACTTCTGAGTGGACTTTTCCCCGGACTAAATTAATTGAGCAGGTGTCTGTGGAAAGCCCTGTTACACCAGACTAAAACCCAATCATATCACCTGTGTTGCCCCAGCAATCTCACTTCTGTAGTTTCTATTACCTTATTTGGCTGCACAGTTCTGCGTAGGTTTTCCATCCACTTATCCCTCTCTGCAGCAGAGGAACAGCTGAAGCATTTACTGCCGCTGGAGTAGGTTACCTGGAACATGGAAATGACAGGCTGAGTTCAGGCAAGCCTAGGAGACGTGTAAGGGGCTGCAAGAAGCAATGCTTGAGCAACTAAGTAAACATGAAAAAGGCAGGAAAACAACAGAGGAGCCTGCAAGGCAGAGAAGTTAAAAGGCCCAAAAAAAAATGCAGAGAGAAAAAAAAAATGTCAGTTCAAATTAAAGTTACATATGAGAAGCACCAAAGGCTCCTCTTAAAGGCTTTTAAACGAGGCTTTAATCAAGCAGTTAATTTTTTTTTTAACGCTTGTTAATTGATCCATAGCTCTTAAGCTCTTGTAGTTGCCCCTGCTAGCTCTCAGACAGATGATTTGGTTACTAACAGGCTGAAGGCAGACAGAACATTGTGTTAATACAAGTTAGAACACAGTGCAAATGGTGTCTTCAGGAAACACAAAATGTTTCTGACAACGAAACACAAACCAAAGGAGCTGTGCTCTGAACCAGCCCCTGCACCCAATGCCATCCACAATCCTGCTTCATGCAGGCATGAGCCACCTTGGCTCTTTCACATGTACCTGGCCTGAAAAGCCTAATTTACCCTTCCCATTCATCTGTACACACAATTAAAAAGCAGTTTGAGGCAACAGCCCCAGAGCTCTGATGCTGCCAGTATTTTCACAGCACACCTCAAACCTAAGCAAGCTGGAAAATGCTTCCAACCGAAGGAATACGAGGCTGAAGCAAACAGGAGCAGCTCCTGGATCCACCCCGAGGGAGAAGAGCCTGATATGCTGGTTTTCTGCAGCGCAGTTTCCCAGGTTGCAGATAGATCTCTGCCCCAGAAGGTACACATCTGAGCAACCCCACAGCAGACAGACCGGACCAGCTGCCCATCACCCCTGCTGCCAGATTACAGCGGGTTTAGATACAGCCAAACAGCACACATGGATATGCTGTAAGGTAAGCACTGTGCTCACACCAACAGCAAGAGCCTCCCGCTGCACGGTGCAGCAACATGCCCACCGTCACCAGAACCCCTCCTGCAGCAGCCAGGGAACAGGCTGGGCTGACAGAAGCAGGTTCAGACTGGAAATCACATTTCTCAGTTATAGCATAATTTGTACATTTAATTCTAAGTAAATCTGGGGAGAACGAACGCGCAACTTAGGAGCAATAGTATCTTTCAACCATGCATTCGCATCCAAACTACAGATGCTTAGATACTTTCTAAGATAACGAGAGTTTTCCACTTTGAAGACACAGCAGCTGTAGATTTCCCTGCACTGATGGCTCGGCCCCAAGGACTCTGCCAGCCCCCACCCAAACCCCCCCGGAAGGTTTGGCTGCAGACCCCTTCTCCTATTACAAAGAGAACAGTGCCCCGCCAGGCTTCAGACCGACTGCGCCGCTTCTATTTGGAGAACGCTCTTTACCTCAAAGCAGAAGTCCTGTCCAAGGATACTGCTGTGCAGGGGCTTTACAAAGACCTTTTCTTCTGCCCCAAGGTCCAGGGCCTCCACTGCGCTGCCGGGGCTCAGCAGGGACTCATGGGAGCGGGACTCCTTCAGCTTCGGCAGCCCACGTGATCTGCAGAGCAAGGGGAGAGGAAACAGCCGTTTTCTCACAATTACCAGCAGACTTGGCAAGATCTCAGAGAAAGCTGCCAGTTGTTTATTCACAGCAACTACCACAGTTAGCCTGGGAGCCTGATGACAAGTAACGTCAGTCCAGTAAGCCCTGACTCCTAAAGGAAGCATCCTGGGCACAACTCTGTTCCCACCCACCCGACCATTGCTCCTCCTGCCCAGCAGTGGCAAACCCCTCTAGAAGATGCTGATTTTAGAGGTGACAGTAGTGTCACAACCTTCTGCAATAAAGTCACAGCACGCTTTAGGCACAACCAGCATTTCTACTTTTAAACATGATGCGCATACACGTTTTTCCTCCAGCTGGAACTCAGTCAAAGCAATGAGGGAGAGCACCTGTCCCAGCTTAGCAGAAGAGGAGCTGTTTACCTGGCAGGTCTGATTTGTAAGATGCTCAAGCTCACATTGGTACCTACATCTGTTCATCTCTGAAGGTGCAGAATCACAGAACCATTAAGGCTGGAGAAAACCTCTCAGATCCCCAAGTCCAACCCCAACCCATCCCCACCACACACACCTCCCTCAGTGCCACGTCCCCATGGTTCTGTAACATTCTGTAACACCTCCATGGATGCTGACCCCACCACTCCCTGGGCAGCCTGTGGCAGTTTAACAAGAACATGGGTATCATGAAGGAGTCACAAAAAGCAACAAGCAGAGTTCAGCTGAATGCTCTTTTGCGCAAAATGAAGTGCTGAAGGTATTCCAGCAGATTCACGTACAAGAAGACGTATTGAACACGGAAGGAGAACTTTGTTCCCATTTAATATATTAAATGACCTAAACGCAGGCAGCAAAAACCTTTCACCAGTGGGACATTACAAAGACACTGATTTCAAATGCAAAACAGCAGCACTGGTACAAATGCTTTGGCTGCACTGTGCATGCTTTGTTACAACAGGTTCCAGCAGCAGCTGTACATACGCAAACCCAAAACCTCAGCCATGTATAATTGAACACTTGCTGCAGTTAAGGTAGGGCAAGTCTAAAATAAACACACCACAATACACCACTTTAATACCATCACTGCAAAATCCTCTCTAATTTCTCCTCTCAAGAAAGCACTGCTGAGGTCACTTGGCTTCTATCCCTGCCCCAAACTCTCAGCAATTCCAGCCCTAGCCGAGTACTTTGGTGCATGATGGAGGGGAGCTGGCTGAGAGCCTGCAGCTACCACTAGCCTCAGCTCCTTGGACAGAAGGAAAGCATGCACTGGTCACAAAGAGGAGGGGAGAGGGAAAAGAAGACAACAAGAGCACCAAATAAAGGACAAATGTTGCAAATCCCTACTCAGCAGAGGCTGCATTTGGAGGAAGACAAATCAAGCCCACCTACATGAAACAACTGTACAGCCACTTAGCAGTGCATCCCCAAAGCATAGCGGTGCCACATGTCAGAGTCCTCCGATTCGAGCCCAGTTCCGTGGGCTACATCTCAGACAACAAATCCTGCTGGGAGAGGAAGGGAGGCCCAAAATCCAGGAGGAGCGGTTCCTCAAGCCTCAGGTCCCGGATTTCTGAGGAGCACTGTGCCAGGACGATGCACTGTAAGCACTGCCCTCACTGCGCACTGTCCCAGGGGTGCCACGAAGAGGCTCCTGGCATGTGTTGCCATGGCACAGCTCTGTAAGGAGATTAGGGGAGGCTCGGGGAGCCTGCTCTGCTGATGTGGTGAAGGTGACTTTTCCAGAAAGGACAAAGTCAGTCCTCTTCCCTTCCTACAATGAGTTTAAAGAGACCCAGACAATGAAGGACAGCAGAAAGAGTGAGGCATCTTCCAGAAACACCTCCACACAGCCTCTGGGGCCGGGGTGGGGGCTGAGGGGGTTACATGACAAGCTGTACAAAGTGCCTGCACGTCCCATCTTGAGAGTTACACCTTCCAGGAGCATCCATTCTGCTCAACTTGTTAGCTTTGAACATGCGCTTTGGTGCAGACCAGCTGCAGAAGGTTGGTTGTGTTGGCTCAGGAGGCAGCGGTGGAGGAATGCCGATCTGTTTGAGCAGCTCCTTGAAGCTACCGTACTTAAATAGCTCATTAAACTGATTAAGTGGCTTAAAATTGGCACTTTGTCTTCCATAAACACCGCAGCAGTGCTGGAAAGCTGTTGGTTAGAGGCAACCACACGCATTTAGGAACACAAATATACACACTTGTAATCCCCACAATATATATTTCACCTATTGATAGATCTGCAATGCAAATCATTTATATGTGCCTAAATCAGAAGCGTCCCAATCAATAAAGGCAATAATTACAGGGAAATAATAGTTCTCTGCGTCTTAAAAGCCACATCTGATGTTCTGAAGCCATCAGTAAGAGTGAAGGAGAATTGCTTGCAGACTTCCTTTTTGCACAGGGGCAGAGTTAATAAGTCAAAGTCACTGACTTGTTTCCCAGTGCCCAGCAAAGGGGCAGGATTAACAGGGTCTTTTCCCATATTAGTTAGGGAGCTGCTGGTAACAGGAGTGCTGCTCGGAGTCTCTGCTAAGAGAGGTAATCCCAGGGAAGCAGATTACTGTAAACAGGAAGATCACGCATGCACGAGGTGGGGGAAGGGTTGTTTGTCCAAATCTGTTTCTGCTAAACAGCTCCATTAACAACCCAAATCCTGATTTGCAATACAATTAACCTCAGGTGACAAATTTCCTGCACTGCTTTTTCTGTTCACTGTTGCACACAGCAAAGGATCACCAAAGATGATGCATGAGTTCAAAAGCAAACAGTTACCGACAGCACTGACACTTCTCACATAGCTGCTTTCCACAACTCCTTTCCAATGGGAAAAGCAGGTGGAAGAGATGATTTTCAAGGACTGCTCTGAGCTCCTCGCTTCATATTTTGAAGCAGCAATCATAAGAGCTGAGCAAATTCCTCCTAAGTCAGAGCCCATGTTGCCCTGAAGCGCTGACCGAGCAGCAGCAAAAGGTCCCTCCAATGGCAGCACCACACAGCCCTGGCTGACGCTCTCTCCTTGCACACAAATTTACTTTTGCTGCTGCAGGAACACTTTGCTTGTAAGCAGGGAGCTCAGCTCCTCCAGGTTTTGGTGTCAGCCTTTTAACAGACTGCATTCTACTGTCTATAAGACATGCAGGATAAAGGGTTAAACCCTAATTGCTCTCTGGTTATGAAGCTCTCCTGCTGATTCTGACCTATTTAAAAAGCCAAACAAAAAAGCACAAAAGACTTCCAATTACCGAGCTTTCCAGGGAGAGCACTGTATTGCCTGGAAAACAAACGCGTGGTCATCAATAATCCAGAAGATAGAAATTAAAAAACAGAAGAACGCATAGAAATAGAGAAAGGAGCTCCCAAGGAATAGAGTCCCACAGTCTATGTTTCCTTTACCAACACAAACTGGCGTGAAGGCAAAGAATTCTAAAGCGAGTTTTTTGCTCAGCCCAAAGACCCACAGCTGAATTCAGTACTTAACCACTCGCAAAGCCACAGCAGCAGCTCTCTGCTCTGCTCAGCGCTGCTCTTGGGATCCCAGCTCTGCTGCACCGCACCCCAATGTTGGCAGCATGGTCTGCAACAGGACGGCAGGGCAGCAGCAGTGGGCTCCCCGTGCAGGCATTCATTCTGCTAGCACACCACACCCTGCTTCATTATCCAGCTGCCTATTAGCAAAACACCCTACGACTTGGTCAACAATTCTACAAGTCCAACCAGTTTCATCATTATCATTGTTTTTTAAGCCAGACGCCAGCAATTTATATTGGAGGAGCCTGGGGTGTGCTTGTACCGAGGGGCTGGTGGAGCCTGCAGCAGGACAGGGCGACGGCTTCCAACAGACGAGCTGCCCTTGGGATGTTGCTCAGTTTTCACTTGGAAGCTGCACGAGGAACCAAAAAAACCGGCTGAAAGAAATACATCTCACTCCAAACAGGAGATGTCTCTCTTGAAACAAGCCACTCCTCCTTTTTCCCCGTGCAGACAGAAAAAGATATGCTGAATGAATACAAGCTCTGACTGAGTGGAGCCTTAATAATGCATTGCATAATACAGATTTTATCCTCGAGTCTCAAGCGGAACAAAAATCACCCCCCTTTTTTTCTTTTTGTAAAGGGGGATTAAATTACAACAACCAAATATGAGAACGCAGGAATAGGAGGCGAAGAAGCGAGGAGGGAGGAGCACAACTCACCGAAAGTAGAAGAAGCCGTCATTGGAGCAGCGGTGCCGCTTCACCATGAAGCCCAGAGCCATGGCTACCCGCTGCCCTGCTGCCCACCACAGCCCATCCTGAGGGAGCACGGAGCAGGACCTGCGCTCGGCCACCACCATCGGATAATGCCATAAAATGACTTTTAGTGCATCAGGAAGGTTCCCACGTGGCACTAAATCCCAACAGGGCAAAACCCTCCCAGCTGTCTGCACAGCTTTGCTGTAGTCGCTGAGACCACATGCAGCCGGTCTCAGCAATCTCGGCTTCCTCTCCAGGCATCAGATGGAGGTGAGAGCTGGGGGTCCTCCTGGACACATTCTCCAGTTGCCCCAGCTGAAGACATTCGTGGTCCCTCCTCACAATTTTACTTCTCCTCATGCTTTTCTATGTATTACTGACAGAAATAACCTACGAGAGAAACACCTGGGTTGGAGAGCCCAAAGAGCGTGGTGGGAGCCAGGCTAGAAAGGCAGTGAAGGGTGATTTGTGGCGCCAGAGAGACTTGTGGCAACAGCTGCCGATAGCCCACTGAGATGCTGTGCCACCACATGCCTGAGAGCTTCATGCCAATCTGGCAATGCCACAACCAAGCAGAGTCCTTATGCTAGTGGCCTGTGAAGGCTAAACACGAGTTTTCACCAGGCAGACCGTGGAGTAATAGAAGTGGTGTTACAGAGGCTGTGGATTCATGCACAACATTCAGCTACCAGCCACAGTGGGCTCAATTCTGCAGGGACACCAGTTTTTTCTTCCCCCCCCCCCCCACACACACACACTAAGCCAGTTGAAGTTTAAAACCCAGAAAAACAAAGTAGCTTGGCCAACTGCTTTCTGCTGGAACGCCAAATCTGATTACGAAAATATCTGCAAGTTATCTCCAGCACTCCCTTACAGCATTCCTGAATCCTATCTATTTTAAATTGACTCTGAACAGACAGCGTCCATCCTCTGTCACCATCTGGAGTGGCGTGCACTGTTACACTATCCCAAGCCTTAATGTGCACCACAATCTTCCTTATTTCAGCTTCCTGCAGGTACTCATCTCTAAGCATCTCCTGCTTCTTAGCAGGACTCAAACACCTCAAAAGAATGAGAAAAACAACGTGCCAGCAGCCTCTACTCCCTTCCAACCTTTCAGCGTTTTAATTTATAAAGCTACATAATAATTTCTTTGAAGCCTGTATTTGTCACAGCAAGAAAAGGTAGATGCTATCAGTCCATCTGGCCCTGAAAGCCAGCACGGCACCATGACATCACCCAGCACTGCCGGCTCCAAGTGGGAAAGGGCTGACTCACTGGGGCAGCTATGGGACATTTGCAGAGCAACAGATCAAGCCTCATACAGAAAGCAAGCAGAGCAGGAGGTGGGAAAACGGCAATTCCCTCTTGTGGGTTCAGAGCCAGCTGCTGTGTGCTACCTTCTTTCATGGGCACACAGGTGTAGCTGACTTGTTCCTCTGAAAAGATCCCGAATAAGAGCATAATTCTAAAGGTCAATCAATCTTTTTTAGCTTCCTTCTTCCCTCCAGCTCATCTCTTCCCAGTATACTAATCTGTTCCTCATCTTAGGGGGTTTTTTGAATCGTTTTTCCTGCTGGTCTGTTCACCAATTGCATTTTTCAGGCACCTGTAGCTAACACAGTGAAAGGTATATGAGGGAATGGAGAAACCGTTGCCAAGTTTCACTTGGAAACGATTTTCCTTTATTTGTGAAGATTTTATTTGCAAAATCAGAAATAACATTAGAAAAGCTCCAGCCACGTTCTTCCAAAGTTGCTATGTTCCATTTGTGCACTGATTAGACCACAAATGCAAAGAGAACTCCATAAGGCTCTCAATCTTTTCAACCACAGGAAGCCACAAGGTTGAGTGGTGCTGTGGCATTTTCCAAGAACAACTTATCAGCAGTTCACGAACCTCACCTGCATCACAAATACAAACATGCTGTGGAACAGCCACCATCATCTGTGCAAAGCTCATCTCCAAATAAACTTCATCTCAGCTTGCTTTCTACGTAGCTTGGCAATTCTCTGATGACCCCCTTTGCCTCCAAGCTCTGCACTCCCTTCACTTCAGCCCATGTACTTCTGAAAGGAGGAGGACTGTGTGGACTCATTATCAAAAATGCTTACTTCCATTAGTAGCAAGTAATGGTATCAAGGCACTGAACATCCAGAACACAGATGGACTTCCATCTCCAGCACTGGGATGCTGCTCAATGTAAGAGGCCAGACAGAACCACGGCAGGATGGAAAATGCAACCCCTAGCTTGTCCCTCTCCTACATCCTGAGGTTTTCCAATTCCAATTTTCTGTCACCCAAAATTGTGCATGGACTCTACCACTTGAACTTCTCAGTTCTCTTGGCTCCTCCTTGTTAAATCCATACCTAGAGACTTGAGAGGACTGACTATGCCTAACGCCATCACCATGCAGGGCATGACCTCCAGAGGTCCCTTCCAACCTGTGATTCTGTGATGTTATTCTATTGAAACAGCCAGAGAAAATCCACGTGTTGTTGGGGTCTAGGTGACACAACTCATGTCCACAACAGCAAGGAGGAATGAGCGAACTGGTTTGAAAGAGAAGGTTTGTTATGTTTATTTCTTAAAGTTGTAGGTATTAATTATAGCTAAATTTATTGGCTTACCCAAAGTGATAGCATTTCCCTTACAGTACAACAGAATGCATCATCAGTCCATGTTTAGTGTGAGAACCAAGCGAGGGAAAGATAAATGCGTTATTTATGGCAAAAACATTTCTGCATTACAAAACATCAAGCCAACAACAGAAAAATAACAGGTACTTTATCACTGGGTGGCATTATTTCATGTGCTTTTGTTCACTAAGTTGCTTTTTATAGCAAAGTTGCAACTCCCTGAAAATAGGCAGTTATACAACAAACCAAAAAACCGCCCACCACAAACCGGACTTCAAACAGAAGAGGTGGACGTCGCCATGACAGAGAAGCAACAACAGCCTGTTGTGTAACTCATGGAGTTAACAAGACCCCTAACACCCAAAGCCTTGCTATCTCCATGATTTTATGGTGCTGCCTTTCAGCTGGGGAAGATAGGGCCATTGATTGAAGTAGCACAGCATGACAGATGCAACTAATGAATTCAGCTCAGCTACAGAAGAAGGGAAAATGCACTAAACGGTGTAAAATCGGAGAAGCCTGTCACAGCCCTAAGTGCAGGGCAACTTATTTTGCACTCATTCTAGTTCTCCTGCTGGGCTGCTGTGGAATATTACACACAGGAACATTTGATGAAGACAATCAGGACACTTCATAAGTAGTTAGGAAAAAAACGTGTAAGATGAGCATTTGCTTGCCTCACATACAATTCACTCAAGCCTGAACCAGCAAACAGAAGCAAAACAAGCAGAATGTAGCAAGATGGACAGGAGTTACCGAGTTTTCCAGTTTTCTGCATAACAGACCATCTGTTCCTTGCAGGACTCCGCACTGCAGCAGCTATAGCACCTCCTGACATTAGCAAGGACTTTTAATGTACCTGAACTGCACTGCACATCCCTGGGCTCTGCCTGTGCTAGCTGAACTGATCTGCTTGCACCAGGACAATCCTCACGTTGGCCACTGCACTGATCTGCAGATCAGCTGCATGCACTGAGGCAAGGTTCTGTAAGAGCCAATCAATCCGATGGTACTGTATCATGAAATTTCAAGTCTGCACTTTATTTGGGACAGATGCAGGTGAAGTATTGGAGTCTAGATGCTTAAACTGAACTTTTTTTTTGTCAGCTGTTAACTGCAGTAAAGGTTTTCAGCCCTACGTCAATGATGCATCATAGGACCATAGATACAATGTATAGTAAATTAGAAAAACAACCTCTAACATACCATTCAGCTCCAAAACCATCCATCTGCCAGCTTAACAAAAAAACCGCAACCCTTCCTTTCTCTCCCTTTACAAGTTGAAATGCACGCTGCACGTAGATTTCACAAAGTGCCTCTGAATAAGGCAGGGTTGCTTCGGGAGATGCACTGACCCTTACCTGTCATCAGCATTGCGGAGTGATGGGAGGCGGAAACTTGTGTTCCTGTCCAGCTTTGACTGACTCTTTGTCCTCTTGATGGACCCTTTCAGACGTTTACTGAAGAAGCCCTGAAATGAGAAGTCATACAAGTGAGATGCCAGTCATAAATCAATCAGTGCACCGTCACCGAGTCCGAACTCGGCAGCGATTCCTGCTGATTGTGGGGAACGTGCTGTATTGGGATTCCTCTGGGCAGGAAGAAAGGCAGGACTACGTTGTTAACGACAGTTCCAGTATGTGACAGCTTCAAATTGCAATAATTAGCACTTCTCATGCTGCAGGTGCGTTTCAGTGAATTACAACTACTATACAAAAGATCAAAAGGCTCCTGTATCTCCCTGAATTACTTTATGCAACATGCAAAGACATACCCTATCAAAATATTTCCAGGGGCTGCAAGCATGCATGCATGCATATACATTCTTTGGCACGATCAAAGCAAATATTAAAGTCCATAGGATTAAGCAGCATTTTTCTGGCTGAATCCATCCTGCTCCTTCACAGAACAGCTGCACAGAGTGCTGCTGTCAGGAGATACACCAAATGCATGCAAGTGAAACCATGTTTGTTAAGAACCTTATAAGGCCAGTTGATAGAATTTGCTCAAAATGAATTTTCTTTGGGTGGATTGACCTAGCAGATCTCCAGCCTTGTAAAGGTCTAGTGACAGCAATAGCCAGCTGGGGCTAGCCCTTCATCCCATCCTCGATGTTTCTCTGAGCTACAAATCGAGTACAGCCACTTTTGAACACAATTTGTAAGGCAAACCCTTCAGCTGCATTTGGGGCGGGTGACAGATGTTGCCCACAGCTGCCTGCTGTAATACAGAGCTCAGCAAACTGGAGACAGACAAGGTCTTCTGTTCCTCCCTACTCAGAAAACACCGACAAAGCAAGAGTGTTTTATTGGCTGCAGGTGACTCGACCAGATGGAAGCATCCAACTTGTTCATTTTACAGACTAGTACAAATTGGGCCAACACAACACAAGAAAACATTATCTGCAATCTTTTAGTCTGAAAAATCTTGTATCACTTTCACCTCTTCAGGAAGAAAATGAGGTTTATTGATGGTATACAAAAGAGAGGGCTCACACCCTGTTCTCATCAGAGCTGCTGGAGGACGAAGTTGTTCCAAATGGCAAAGCCAGCATTTGTCCAGGTTCATCTACAAGCAGCTCCAAATCAATTTCCCAATTGTTTTTGCCATGATCTCCCCAAGCTTTCAGTACTTCTTTCAGTAAGTAAATAAATAAATATGTACATAAATCCTTTTTGTTTTAAACACGCGCATCCTTCCTCAACCCTCACTGCCTTTCCTCATTCTGTTACACATGGTCCTTTTACAGTTTTCCCTTCTTCCACACCTATAATCAAATCCTTCCCCAAACCATACAGCTGTGCCCTCCATAGAGGCTGATGTACAAGTTGCACGAGTTCTCCATCTCCTTGCACTCCTTAACACTGCTTCATTGGATTTGGAGGGCGATATATTACTACAATCTTATCCATACTTAAAGCTGGCTGGATACCAAGCACACACAGATCGTCCTCTCCTAAATATTGTGTAGGGAACAACCTGCTCCCTCACACCACAGCCCACAGGCAGCTCAGAGGAATATGGATGCCACGTGGCCTATGGGATGATGCCACATGGGACAAGGGAAGGAGGAATGTGTTTTTTGCATCTAGACATACTGCTACATCTAAGGCTGCCCTTCAGTTGCTGAGGCTTGCCAGCCAGCAGGCTCCTGAAGGATGAAAGCTGCTATTTCTACTGAAACAGAAAATAAAGTGTAAAAGAAAAGATACCAAGATACCCCTACAAGAAAAAAAAACAAGACCAAACCACTCAAAAAAAAACCCTAAAATAAAAATTCCCACAACAAAAACCAACCTAGCCTGCTGGGAGAGAAGGCACTGTCAGAAAAGAGAAAGTGTTATTGGCTAAGTATGCTACTCAAACCCTACCCATGTTCCTGCACTTTTCTTGGTCCTGGAATTGAAAAGTGCCTTTGAAAAAACCCTGTAATCAATAGATGCTCTTGTGCTTCTCTTGGGGCCATTGCTGGAATTCAAGTAGAAGATGTAAAGCACTTTCAAAGGCACTTTCATATATTCTGACCTCTCAGCACAAAAGGTAACAAATCCAGCTACAGGGATTCAGATCTGGTGGACTCTGGCTTCATTCCAGTACATCTTAGGCTACTCGGATTGCAAACACGAAATAAAATGTTTTTCTCCCCTTAAGGACAAATAAGACAAAGCTGACCCCATTCAGCGGGGGTGAAAAAGCATTGGTATTGAATCACTCCAAATCCCGCCCAGAGAGGGACCGTGAAGATTCATTTCTGTGTGCACGCACAACTTTAAATTGGCATTGCTTTTACATTAGTGAAACATGTTCTGGGCTTAATTGAACATCATCTATTCCTTAGGAGATTATTCCTTATCTCTGGTTGAATAAGGCTATCCAGAGCACTGAAAAAAAAAAAAAGGGTAAGAACATACTTAATAATAAAAACTCATCAAACAAAGAGTGGACTCTCCTAGTGGAGAGCCTCATCACTTGGAATACCTGTTCTCTGCACCTTGCTGGCAGTGCTTACAGATGGTCAACCTGGGAGCAGCATGAATAATTCACATGCCAGATCTGAGCAGAGCTTTTTGGCTTCCATTTGCCCAAGGAAATCCTTTTAAATGCTGACTACAGCTATGAAAGGTATGCAGAGATGAAAAACAAATCCGTAACAAGCACAGTCTAACTTAAGTTTATTTTTCTTTTCTTTCTGCCAACATTCATACAGCTCATACTGTTAAAACACAATGCAGTAACACCTTACTTCCTATCCTACTGACTAGATATTTGTCTTAAATGCTTATTTCAACACCAAATAGTGCTGCTTGGTTCTTAAACCTCAACGCAAAGATGTCTGAAGAAAGAGATGTGATGGTTGTCATCTAACAGGACAAAGCTCAGAACAAATCCCTCCCAGAGCTGTGGGTTTGGGGGAAGAGGGATGGAAAAGGGACACCGAAGAAAAGCACTGGTTCTCCAATTCAGAGAGAGCAGACCACGCATAATAAATAATGGATCTCTTCATCGTTACAGAAGTCAAAGGTTAATTCACCCAGGAACCAACAGAAAATAAAGATAACTATAATAGGAATTATCAATCGATAAAATGCAACGTTATATTAGCAGAACTTTCAAAAGCACGGGTGCCAGAGTGAAATGGGTGATGCTAAGGATTGCCCTACACACCGTGCTGCGAGCACCACTACCTACGCTGTGCAGTTCTGGAGGCAAACACATTGTCTTTTGGAAGCTTGCGATGTGTCTTGAACATTTATCATTCCCGATGAGGAGCACTAATGCATTATTAATAACAGCAGGTGGGCAACTTCATTTCCAGAGCAGCAAGACTTGTCCTCTCAGAGGGGAAGGTTTGGATGAGTTACAAAGATAACACTCTGATGGCTCCGGACGGCAGCAGAACTGCCTCCCAACTGCTGCTTGTTATGAAGCATCTCATTTCTTAAAGTTGCTCACAAGCAGCAAGCAAGAAAAAAAAAATAGAGCCAAGTGAAAATTCTCTCAGGTGCCAGGGATGCTGCAAGGCTCTGACAGGTGGGGGAAGAGTGCCAGATCATAAAATGGGCACACACAACTAGCAAGGTGCTCCAAGGATTAGGAGCAAATGTGATGCTGATGAAGCTTACTTCCTACCTCCTGCAGAACAAAGAAACGTGTAACAAAGAGGCACAAGCTTGCTTAGGAACCCATTTATCAGCACCTCTGAAAAAGCTCTGGGCTACTCCTGAGGTAGGAAAGCAGATGGAACCCACTGCATGTCCACCTGTGTGGTAATATAAAGGGCAAGGTGGTGGCTTGGGACGCTCCAAAATCCATCCACCAGCTGAAAGCATGCTCTGAAGAGGTGCTTCCTGCAGAGGACGATGAAAATTGTGCGGGGATGTATGAAGGATAAACAAAGCACAATAAGAATAAAGTGGTATTACGTAAATCTGCCACTGCTTTCACTCTAATGCACCGTTCTTCTCTGATCTTCTCATCTCCGCAGCAAAACCGGAACAAAACTGAACTCCAGAAGTGAAAACTGATTGCAGGCAGACAAGAGGAGGATTTACCAAAGATATATTTTAAAGACCGATTATTCATTTTTGAAATAAAAGCAAGAAGGGATTAGAGATGTATAAAACAAATAGAATGGAAATTAAGTAAGTCCCTTGTGCAGTCCGTTACATAACAAAACCGAGGGGCATCTCCATACGAGAGGCAGCAAATGTTGGTTGGTGCCTGTCAGGAGACCTTTCCTAATGCTATCCATAAATCAGCTGGCAGAATTCTCTTCCACAAGATATTATAGAGACAAATTTTTGAGCAAGATTAAAAAAGGATTACGTGTTTATATAAGGAAGAACAACATATGTAGCTGCATTAGTCAGGTTTAAAAATAACAGGAGTGAGCAATTATCATGCTCCAGGACACAAGCTGATCAACAGCAAGGATCAGGAAGATATTTTTCCCCTGATGGGACAGCACTGCAGATTTGGCCAGATAACACTTCCAGCTCTCCAATGAAAAACTGCCTCCTGCCACAGTAGGGATGCAGAACAGGATGAGACAGTTGAGAGAAGAGCAAAGAAATGGAAACAGCACATCAACAGGGATACCTCGATAACGTATCTTTTAATGATGTGCATCAGAAGATTCCATGTGGTCTGCATGATATGCAGTCAAAAGTACTGAAGGAATCACATTTCCAAGCGCTGGGCATCACGCTGAAAAATTCATGAAGAAACAAGAGCTGCCACATAGTTGGGCAGAGCTGCGGCAGCCTGCAATCCAGGCAGGCATCCCACATGGCGCAGCCTTCAGACACACAACACCAGCATGGGAGAAGATCACCCCTAGAAACCAATATCCAGGGAAGGAAGGAATACCCCAGCCTGCCCCAGCAGGAAGCAAGGGGCTGCAGCATTTTGTGGTCCTTATGCAGGAAGGAGGCAATAATTCCTGTGAGCTGGGCTCTTCCCGCTTGGCAT